TGCGTGTCGCGGGGGTGGCTGACGTTCCAACGGCGCAGGATCCGGTCCACCACCAATGCCCATTTGCTGCCGTTTAAACCGCTAATGGTTCTTTTTGGCCGTCCTTTTCATATCTCTCCAGAGCTGTGTCAGCTGTTTCTAGTCCCATTTTTCTTCTGACCTTGCATTACAGGCTGTAACAATGTTCTTCCAAGACCGTTTTCGTTCTTCATTACTCCTTCCATCGTGTCGCTTATTTTCGATGACTTTTACTTCAGTCTTCATGACATCGGCTAACAAATGCATGTCTCTACTACTGAAATTTCTGCTCCTCTTCTTCCTGTCCATGGTTGTTGACCGGACACTCGTATTGCTTCCACTGAGCTGGTCCTCGCCCCACTGACACGTAACGCGAAGTGCGACGACAGGGGCCCGACACTAGCCGGCTGGCTCGACGATCACATTATTTCGGATGTGATACGAATCCCATCTCACTATCCCGAAGATTACGAAATAGCAGCTGGTGGCAAGGAGATAGGTGCGATGGAAATAGACTAATGCCTCCGTATTTGAAAATTTGAGTCCTACATCCTCAATTCTGTCAACTCAAATATTGCTCTGGTTACTCATGTATGACTTGTTGAAAACATCTGGATACCTACTTGCAGTGATGAAATACGTAATTTGTAACCCCTCAACAAGCACAGAGGCCAGTTTAACAAACAGAAAAATAGCCGCCTGGCAGAATTTTTTGCCTAAAGACCGTTTCACATACATAGTGTAAACGCGATAAGCACGTAAGCGGATAGGGCTTTACCGCTCTCGATCCGTATGTGAATCGGCCTTTAGGCGAAAAATTCCGCCAGGCGGCTATTTTTCTGTTGGTAAAACTGGCCTCAGTACTATGAAAAGGTGACCTCAAATTCGTCTAATCTTAGCAGCCGAACGGCTAGGCCGAACTGGCTGAAAAAGCCAGAACTAGATGATTGCACTATTGTCTATCACTTGCACATAAAATTTGCACAGAAATAAACTTTTAAAACCCCCTAAGGACCAAAAAGCACCACCGAAAAGATACCCGCGAACTTAATACATGGGGTGGCTCGCGTGTAAGTTTGGTCGCTAACTTAGCGAACAAACTATTTACCCGCAGATGGAAGTCTCCGGGCAAAGTTACCCGCCGACTTAAACGCGAGATAAACGCCAACTTACCCGCAAACCACTTACACGCGACTTACCCGCGTGTGGAAGTCTCCATAAAAAGAATTGTGGAACCGAAACTGATGTTGAGAGTGCAAACGTTCTTTGCGCAATTCCACGACGAAAAGGCCGCTGAATAGGCATTATGTAAGCGATTTGGGCTACGCGCACGAGCAACATCGGCGAAAGGAAACTCAATTGTCCTTGGCTTGTGAACGGTCATGGAAAGCCCACTTTACTTTAGCTTCGCATCCCTCAACTCCTCCAAGGCAGTGAAAGCCACGCAAATGATCAGATCTTTTCATGCCGCACCACAAAAGGAGTTGGTGGAGGAGCACAAAAGAATTCCAACGCGCAAGCAAAATATTTGGCGTATAGCTCGATTCGAGGCTATGTTTCGTCATGTCCAGATCCTTTCGTGCCCAGCAGCCTCCGCAGGTGATTCAGATCATCTTCAGATCAAAAATCGCTCTTCATGAGACATCCTATTCATATCATTATTTTCACCTCCGACTTGATGTAACACCGCTGTGGAGACGACCTAAACGACCGGTCTTTTCACAGCAACGCAATCGAACTTTCAAACAGCATCACACTACCGTCCTTATAAAAAACAATGCGGCAAAAACGGTCAATAATATTCGAGCAGCTTCACATGAGCACTGAAAACCGCCGGCGAATGGCGACTAGCGACGGTAGCCGGGCCGGCGGTGAGTGGAACGCCCAGAGCGACACGAGGCTGACACTGACATACGAGCCTTCGCCGTGAGACAATGGCGGCGCCTATGGGAGATGGCAGGGCGAGGCACGAGGCCGCGCGACAGGTTTCACTCGGCTGACCTCAGATGTGTCTGACAAGAAATACCTTTGACCTACCGGCTACCGCCATCAGAAAGGTTAACTGCATGGCGAGAAAACATAAACATATTGCAAAACTACGCTGTAGGTAATTGTGGTGAGCTTCAGAAACCACATAGGGCTTCACATTATGAGTTTCCCACCACCTTGTCAGGTTCACTCATCATCAGCCGCAACTCCCAAATTGCACTGGGCTTCATTGCACTGTGAGGAGGTCTTGCTGCCCGCCTACCGAACATCAGGGCACAGTGCGCACATCGGAGGGGTGCAACTCGTTCAGAAACTACCGAGCTGCTACACAGTCAGTCTCAGAAAGCACGGAGTGTAAGGAAAAGAGCCAGCGCTGCCGGTTTGAGACACAGCAGCGCAGAGAGTTGTGCACAACTGGCACTGATAGTGGACCGTCCGTGCTGGTTAGGTCAATGTCGCTGGGACTGACCTGAAGGATAGAACGGCAGAGAAAAACGAGTAACACATAGTTACCAATCATTCAATTGAACTCTTGCAATGACTCTGAATCAAACAGAACTGCAAAACGTGGTCTTTGATTAGGCTCGGCTGGCTTCAGAGTTCAGATCAGTTAACAATACTCAAATCTGACAGGCCTTGCGTGTTGTTAGCACTGCGAGACGAAGTTGAATAAGTATTCATCGTGTATTTTTATATTGTTTTCCACGTGTTCCATCACTCTGGATATCAAATTCAGTGCCCCCAGTCCCTATCGGTTTTGAACATCCGTTGGAGCATAGCCGAGTCTTGGTCTGTCCGTCCGCGTCGGTCCGGCAATTTTACCCTCTCATGTCGGAAAACCTGTCTACAGAATACAGCAGTGAGGAATTCAGTTTTGAGGGGAGAGAGAGAGAGAGAGAGAGAGAGAGAGAGAGAGAGAGAGAGAGAGAGAGAGAGAGAGAGAGAGGGAGAGAGAGAGAGAGGGAGAGAGAGAGAGAGAGAGAGAGAGAGAGAGAGAAAGAAAGAAAGAAAGAAAGAGAGAGAGAGAGAGAGAGAGAGAGAGAAAGAAAGAAAGAAAGAAAAAGAGAGAGAGAGAGAGGGGGAGAGAGAGAGAGAGAGAGAGAGAGAGAGAGAGAGAGAGAGAGAGAGAGAGAGAGAGAGAGAGAGAGAGAGAGAGAGAGAGAGAGAGAGAGAGAGAGAGAGAGAGAGAGAGAGAGAGAGAGAGAGAGAGAGAGAGAGGTTGCTAGGACTGCAGAGACGGCATCGTCCGGGGATAAAAATGGCTTACAGGCAAATCGACCGAGATGATTTGCCGCACTGCGGGTGTGATCCTTAAAAAAGATGTGGAGTCGTTCCCAGCAAAACCCATTCCATTTCCATTTGAAAAGTTTTGTCAGGCTTGCAGACTCTTTGAAACGTATCCCGTTAGGGCCTAACAGTTCGAGAATAAAAGTACGGCTCTACATAGATCACTGACGGCATTTGTGCTGCACAAGTTTTGAAAAAAAAAGGTTTCATGTGCCACGAAGAAAACAACTGCGAGTGCCAACAAATAAATTAGGTGCTCTACGTACTTGGGAGTTTGCTACCTCTCTTTAATTACAAGGATGATCTAACCATCAAAGAAGCTGAAGAAATGAAAGTGGAGAGAAAGTCTAATGTGTTTACGGTAGAACTAGAAGAATATTCAACAATTTGTACTGAGTATGCAGACATGTGCGTAGATCCGAGAAAATGGATGATCTGATCCTACGGATCCCGATCTCGGATCCATCGGTATCATGGATCCGCTCTGCAATTTATCGAGATACGTAGGGATCATAGATCCCAGGCTAATTTTTTGCTTGAGATCCGGTGAGATCATAGATCCACACTTATTTTTGTCAACTCAGAAATCCCAGAAAATCACTCGTTGCAACTCAAAAACGCTCTGTTTTAGAGATTGTATGTGATTGCACGTCATACTCCATAGTTTTGTGTCACTTATTTAGAAACACTTGGAAACATGTTTTCAAATGTTGGAGAGATCCACATCAGAGAGTTCGTGGGATCCACTCGGATCATAGATCCATGTTCTTGGTTTATCGTCAGATTATATGAGATCACAGATCCAGATTTAAAAAAAATCACGCCGGATCGGGTGGGATCATAGATCCTAGCCTGCAGTTTGCTTCGAGATCCACTGAGATCCTAGATCCATCACTCGGATCCATGCACATGTCTGCTAAGCATTCGTCTGTACTTCCTTTACTATTGTCATACCAAGCAAAGCTTTTCCCTTTACCTTCACGTACCTTTTTTGTAAAATATTACTGATTATATTTGCTTTGACAGCACATACACATACGTTAGTCCATATTTCCTCTTATATGCCCAAAGTGGTTGTGCGCTCTAGATCCAGAAACTGGCGCATTGCAAAATATCGTGGACGCGGAAAACCTGATAACCAATTGTGCGTACGGTGTTTTGCTTCATGATTAACTGGAAATGCAGACAAACGTGAACAGCGCTTAGCAGCCGCAACATGCTGTGCTGTGTATCAGAGCAGGAATATCAAGACTGAAATACCTACGCTACAACTGCACTACCTACCAGCCGCGAGTAAATAGGCCCTTTCAGCTCCGACCCAAATGTGGCTCCGAGTGTGAGAGTTGGGGGGCGGGCGATGACACAGCAGGAACGCAGCAGTAACACAACAGGTGAGGCAGCGACATCGAGCAGATAGTACCACCACTCACCAGGCACCGACCCTCGGTCGCTGAGCCGAGCGAGGCGGCGGAGCGGGGCCGGCTGGGCCGAATCGGCACCGCACGGGAAAAGAGCCAGTCTGCTGACTGGTCGCCGGGCGCGGCGCCGTAGCGTGAAATGCGCCCGTCTGAACCGGTCCACGATCGGAGCGAAGGTGTAGAGCGGGGCGGGCCGCGGTGGGAGGTGTCCCGGGCCGGCGCCGGGGAGGTGTCCCTCCCGAGGTGGGGAGGTGTCTCACTGTCCCAGGTGTCCCAGCGCACACTCACCTCGTCCCACCGGATGAACTTGTCGCCGCGCTGCAGCTCCTCGGGCACGACAGCCGGCCGCAGCTGCACCACGTGTACGGCCGGCCGGTAGCCAGCCATGGCCCGCTGTCAGCTGCCGCCGCCGCCGACAGTCTGCCGGTGCCGCCGGCGGGACGGCGCAGCTCGGCTCGTCGGCCGCCGCGCGCGCACACCTGCAACAGGGGAGGGGAGGGGAGGGAGTCAGACGGGCGCCGACCGACGGCGAGCGGTGACGGCAGCGAGCCGGCCCGGCCGACCCGGCCCGGCCCGGCGACAGACACCTGACAGCCGCGGCCCGGAGCGGCGCCCCGGGCTGGGGCAGGGAACAGAGCGGCGCCCCGGGCCGAGAGGCGAGACAGCCATGAGCCAGGGAACAGAGGGGCGCCCCGGGCCGAGACAGGGAACGGAGCCCAGAGCGAGGTGGCGCTCACAGCTCGAGCCAGGGTACAGTGGTGCGCCCTATAGCCAGCCAGGGAAATGAGGCCAGATACACCGGCCCACAGTCCGAAACAGGCAGCAGAGGGGTGCCCGGACCGAAACAAGAAGCAGAAGCCACAGAAGGGCGCACCCAGTCCTAACCAAGGAGCAGAGAGGCGCCTCGCGGGTCCTAAGGCAGAAAATGAAGCAAACCGGACCAGTGTAATAAGTAGACCACGTCTTTCGAGTGGCCGGATTGGCGATGTCAGAACCAGTTCACTAAGCGGCCGTTGAGCGGGTCGCTTATTCTACCGTCCTTTTGAACAGGTTCAGACTCAGATGGTGAAACTCTGAGACGACCCGTGAGCCGCACCAAAGTCGGAAGAGCTGGACATTTCACAGCAGTCGTCATCGCGAGCGAGATCATCGCTGCCTTTATGCAAGCCTCCATGTGAACGATGGATCACAACATTCGGCTCGCCTTTCTATGTAGTTATAAGCGCCATTATAATTGATCACGACCCATAGACCGGTGTATACCGGTTTACGGACTGAGCTTTACAGCGAACACTTATGTGAGGCTTTAGCCAGTTCTTAACCCTCGCCGGCACAGGGGGGGGGGTTGAAGCAACCCCCCCTAAGGTTTTTCGCGAATAACTCGCGTAAAAAGCGGCCGATCGCGACGAAACTTTCAGTACCCTCGCATTGATCAATTTTACACCTACCCTGAAAATTTCATGACCCTGACCTCAATGACCTTTGACCTGTGACCTCTTTTCTGTGACCATGTTTGGCCGAAATCGCGGTTCGGCGCATGTCGGCTCGCATTAGCCGCGCGTTTGCAAGCTTTTCGTGGTTTCAAACGTTCAAACATGTGATTTGATGTTGCTCCCATGCATTAGGGTGGGTGTCAAGGTCACCTGAAGGTCAGGTCAGGTCATTGACCTTTGGTGACCTCGGGTGACCTCGGTTCACTTTTTCGAGTTTTACATGTTTCTAGGCTAGTTTTTCGAGCTGAATTCGATTTTAGCAACCATTTGAACATTTACGAAGTAGTTTTGGTGCCTTCGTAACATGTTACGAAGCTGTCCGAGGCGGTTGACACGTATTACGAATACCCGTCACAACCCCTACCGGTTGACCTGACCTGACCTGACCCAACCTGGTCTAAATGCTTTAAGACATCATCTCTGATCAAAACTAACACGATATTCGTGATCAGCACCCCGGAAAACCACATAGCAGCCACACTTTACGACTTTCTAACAGGTCCCGATTTTCCCGGTTTTCGGGTCATTGACCTGACCTGGAAGGTCACCCGATGACCTAGGACCTTAAAATTGGGTATCATCGGCTTCCTCTCGTGACGGGCAACACTCTCGTTTTTTCCGCGAAGCTCTAGCTCGATCAGGGGCCAAACGCGAGGGGGGGTCGTACCAACCAACCCCCCCCCCCCCCTTGTGCCGTCGAAGGACTCAAAATGGCCTGTGCCGGCGAGGGTTGTAGCGTGACGCAAGGATGAATGTGAGCCGTATAAGTGTGAGTCAGCTTCAGCGTCGAGCTGTGAACCGGTGACCCAGCGTTGGTCATAGCCGCCGGCATCTGATGCCGGCAGGGCCGAGTTACACCCTGCAAGTAGCTGGGCCGGGCATGACGTATGGGAGCATGATTGGCTGGTTATGATGTGAGATATATGACGTATGACAGCGCGATTGGTTGGTGATGATGTGAGATGTGTGTCTGCGAGCTGTGGATGTGCCAGGAGGGGGATTGTGAGTTTAGTTGGCTGGAAGATGTAGAGGAGAGCAGAATAGATCTTCTTCTTGTGCTGGACGGTGACTTTTAAGTCAGTACGACAAGCTATTTCGGCCTTCTCGACTAAGTGTTGTGATTATGTCTGACGTAGAAGAGGGCAGTGGTGCACCGGTAGCTGGTACCAATACCATGGAACCAGAGTTTCCTGCGCCTGCATTCGATCTGCGGGCAATACCGGAGTTCGACGGCAGCGGTGACGTCGTCAGATGGCTGGAGCAGGCGACACAGCTGTGTGCCCTGCGTCGTGTGTCACTGGCCGCTGTCATACCCACACGCCTGAGGGACCAGGCGTACGAGGTGTGGGCCACCCTCTCCTCCACCGAGCAGCGGGATGCTGCAATCGTCCGCCAAAAACTGCATCGTGCATTTGCATTGGGACCCGACGCGGCTATGTATGAGCTGTATCACCGACGTCTACAACCGGGCGAGTCTGTGGATGCCTACCTGGGATCAGTCAAGCGGCTGATATCCCTCATAGGTTCAGTGTCCAACGAAGTGATGACGACGCACTTCCTGCAAGGTCTGCCGCCGGAGGTGCGGCTAACAGTACGTAACAGTGCTGGAGATGAAACTCTCTCCTTGGAGCGAGCCGTCGCCGTCGCTAGGTCAACGTTGGCGATGGCGGCCAGGGAGAGAGCGACTGCATCGGTGGCTGTCGTCCAGCCGCCGCCATCATATGTACAGCAGCAGCGGGGAGCCAGAGGGACGGGTCGCCGTCCACCACTGCGGTGTTGGACCTGTAACCAGGTAGGCCACATCGCCCGGCTCTGCCCAAACGGGCACGGCGACGGCGCTACATCAGCGCCACGGGCTCCGCCGTCGCCAGCTGCCGCAGTGACCCAAGAGCCCCCATCATCGACATCAATGTAAATGGGCGCAAGTGCCGAGCACTCGTCGACACAGGGTGCAGCGAGACAGTGGTGTGGAAGGGCATGGTGTCCTGCTGGGAGCGGAGTGACGCCAGGTTGGTCGCTGTCAACGACAGCCCGGTGCTGTGCTGTGGGCGGGCTGTGGTCAGCCTTGGAGTGCGCGGGGCGACAGTGAGTGTGCGGGCGGTCGTCGTACCGGCCCGGTTGCTGGGCGTAGACGTGTTGCTGGGCATGACCGGCATTGACGCCCTGCAGGGCGTGAGTGTAAGTGGAGGATCCGTTCGCTTCGGGAGCGACAACCCAGTTGCGAGCGTCGACACGGCTGCTGTGGTGCAGCGTGAGGCCCCGCCGGAGCGGGAGGTGTGTCGAGCGGTCGACACGGCTGCTGTGGTGCAGCGTGAGGCCCCGCCGGAGCGGGAGGTGTGTCGAGCGGTCGACACGGCTACTGTGGTGCAGCGTGAGGCCCCGTCGGAGCGGGAGGTGTGTCGTGCGGTCGACACGGCTGCTGTGGTGCAGCGTGAGGTCCCGCCGGAGCGGGAGGTGTGTCGAGCGGTCGACACGGAGCCGGAGCTAAGGATTGACGAGACTGACTTCACGGCTGTGTTCGATGATGTGTGGACAGTCCGTTGGAAATGGGCCGGTGGCGTGGCTCCGCCCCCGCTTGGAAACTCGATAGCTCAGTACGGTGTGCCGAGTTGTGCGCGTGAAAAATTCGATGCAGAGCTGGCGCTGTGGATTAGTGAGGGCTGGCTGCGCGAATACGATGAGACGATGTACGGTCCCGCACAGGGATTGATCCCGTTGATGGTGGTTACTCAGGCAGCGAAGGACAAGGTGCGGCCGGTGTTAGATTATCGGGAACTTAATCAACACCTGACACGTCACACAGCCGACGCTGACGTCTGCGTGGAAGAGCTGCGAAGGTGGCGACGTCACGGACGCCGGGTCGCTGTCCTGGATCTGAAGAAAGCTTTTCTTCAGCTTCGTGTGGACCCGGCCCTGTGGCCGTACCAGACAGTCATCGTGCAAGGGCGGCGGTACTGCCTGACCAGGGTCGGCTTTGGGCTCAGTATCGCGCCTCTGATCATGAAGGCTGTGGTCAGGAAGGTGCTCGCACAGAGCCCCGGGTTGGCAGAGGCAGTGCTGCCTTACGCCGATGATCTGCTGGTCAACGAAGCGGTGGTCTCGGCTGATGAGGTTGCCGAGCACTTCGCTCGATTCGGGCTCACATGCAAGCCGCCGGAGCGGGTCGCGACCGGTGCACGTATGCTGGGCCTTCGTGTCGCCGAGAGCGACGGGCCGGCACTCCAGTGGAGTAGGGACGGGGAGTCACCAACGCAGGCTCCACCCGTGCTAACGCGGCGATCTGTCTTCGCGTGGGCCGGCCAGCTGACATCTCATGTGCCGGTCGCAGGCTGGCTGCGGCCGGCCGCTGCATGGATGAAGCGGACTGCCAACCGCCTCAGCCCGGACTGGGACACTCCGATCGTCAGCGAGGAACTACAACGTGAGGTGGATGAGGTGTCACGGCGGTTTCGAGCATGTGACCCGGCACGCGGCCAGTGGTGTGTGACAGGGACGAGCGTCGTGGTGTGGACCGACGCCAGCTCCATCGCCCGCGGTGTCGTGCTCACTGACCCTGACACGGGCGCCATCATCGAGGATGCGTCCTGGCTGCGTGCCGAATCGGAGAGGGACGTGCACATCAATATCTCAGAACTGGATGCCGCTCTCAACGGTGTCAACCTGGCGGTAGCATGGGGCTTCCGTCGCCTGACGCTCCGGACAGACTCGGTGACGGTGCACCGCTGGCTGAGTGACGCGCTGTCGGGTAAGGCAAGGCTGCGAACCAAGGCGCAGTCCGAAATGCTTATCCGACGGCGCGTGGCTGTTTTCCGTCAGCTCGTCATCGAGTACGAACTGGAGGTCACTATCGAGCTGGTCGCGTCAGCGGTCAACCGTGCTGATGAGGTGACGCGGGTGCCCAACGCCTGGCTGCAGACTGCCGACCAGCCAACCACTGATTCGTCCAAAGCACAACCGGTGGCTGTCGCTGCCATCACAAGTGCCTCAGCGAGTGACATCCGCACCATCCACGAAAACATCGGTCACCAAGGAGTGAGGAGAACGTTGTGGTACGCCCGACGTGAGCTGGGGGTGAGGCGGGTGTCAAAACCAGCTGTGCGAGACGTGGTCAGACGATGCCAGACGTGTGCCTCGATTGACCCGGCGCCGGAGCGCTGGCCCGGTGGGTCACTCGGAACAGAACGCACGTGGGATCGCCTGGCCATGGATGTCACCCACGTGCACGGCCACCCATACCTGACGCTGGTGGACTGCGGGCCGTCGAGGTACGCCATATGGCGACGGCTTCGCCGGGCAGGAGCTCTGGAGATTGTGAGTGAGCTGGAGAACGTGTTTCTAGAGCGTGGAGCCCCGGCGGAAATACTCACGGACAATGCGACAGAGTTCCGTGGCCGGGTCATGTTAGCGTTCGCGGCTCGCTGGGACGTATCCATCCGGTTCCGCGCTGCCTACGAGCCCGGCGGGAACGGCATCGTCGAGCGCCATCATCGTACCATCAAAGTGATGGTGGCCCGGCAGTCCTGCTCCGTTGCTGAAGCAGTCCATCGATACAACGTGACACCGAAGGATGGCAGTGACCCGGCCACAGCTCCAATCAACGGGGTGCTTCGACACCCTGGCCGAGACGTTGACGTGACGCCCCGCACAACCTCAGACGAGCCTGGTGACGCCCTGCCGCTGAAGAAACCCGGTGTATACCAGGTAGGGGACAAGGTGTGGGTTCGGCGGCGGGGCGACCGATGTTTTGTAAAGTCAGACGAGGGTATTGTGACAGGCGTCGTTTCGGCCCAGACAATCGAAGTCGATAATGTCCCACGACATGTGCGAAACCTCCGACATCGGTTGACCGTCCCTGAATGTCCGAGGCCAGGGGCTCTGCGAGCGCCAACGGTGGAGTGGTCTGATGACAGCGAGTGTGATGGCGTGTGTGTGTCGCCAGCTCCGAGTGATATGACGGAGTCGGACACGCGGCCGCCCAGCGTCGCTCAGTCCCCGGACCCCGATCCACCGACCGGGTCCGATGTGTCCGCAGACGAGAGTGAAACGTTCGTGCCTGCGACGCTGCGGCGTGGTACGCGTGTTCGAAGAGAGCCGGAAAGATATGGCGATGGTGTGCCAGAGGATGTAGTTGATGCGTTGATTGAATGACATGTAACATGTAGAGTAATGTGGTTCTTCAGAACCAGGGGGTGATGTAGCGTGACGCAAGGATGAATGTGAGCCGTATAAGTGTGAGTCAGCTTCAGCGTCGAGCTGTGAACCGGTGACCCAGCGTTGGTCATAGCCGCCGGCATCTGATGCCGGCAGGGCCGAGTTACACCCTGCAAGTAGCTGGGCCGGGCATGACGTATGGGAGCATGATTGGCTGGTTATGATGTGAGATATATGACGTATGACAGCGCGATTGGTTGGTGATGATGTGAGATGTGTGTCTGCGAGCTGTGGATGTGCCAGGAGGGGGATTGTGAGTTTAGTTGGCTGGAAGATGTAGAGGAGAGCAGAATAGATCTTCTTCTTGTGCTGGACGGTGACTTTTAAGTCAGTACGACAAGGGTTAAAAATAGCGTTGAATAAACAGGCGATGCAACAGACTCCGCGCTTATTTCACGAAAAACGGTCGGTGAGCAAAAAGGTCACGGAAACGCACATAAAAACGCGAAAATCGTTACCACATGATAGGAGCTGAGTGCATTCAGCGTGCGTCGGAGACGGGCCAAAGCCTGCCATTAAGATGTCAGACGAGTGGACTAAGCCGATTAGGCTGACGGATCATCCTCTGAGCTCCAACTGCCACTCATGGGCAACAGATACTGGCCGCCGGACGGGTCAAATGAGGCAGCAATAGAAAATGGTGCTTGGTAAAAAGAACGGCCAGGCCAAAGGGTGGAAGCTTTGCTACTGTCACGTCAGCACGCATACACCATTAGCCGCATTAGACGGACAGGCCTGGATGAAAAAAGTTGATAAGACACTTCCAAATATCCTAGCGCAGTTACCTTCCCTCTCTCCCTTCGATACGAATTGAAAAGCCATCAGCTAAGTGATTCGTTCTCCAGTTGTGACATTCCGAAATTGGTGGAAATTATATCAAGTAGTTAGAATGCCTTTAAAAGCCCGCTGTCAATGACATATGGGAATAGACTTGTGTTCGCGAAACAGGATCCAGGTTTCAATAATATGTTATTGATCCAAAGTGTTCCATCAGCAAACTTTCACAGTGAACCCGGCATCAAGGGACTGTGTCAAATGGTAGCGACTGTCTTGATTGCCAAATACCTACCTATGCAACTTGGTGACTGAATATCAGTCAGTCAGTCAGACGGGACAACGTGGGATAAGAAATTGATAATCTAGCATGTGGCCGTTACCGTTCATTCATCCTGATCCGTCCCTAAAACATACACACACAAAGTGAAGTTTCGACCATAATCCCCATTCACACCAACCGATCACACTGCCAGCATAAAGCATAGAGGTATGTACTGAGATTCGAGCACAGGGACAAGGTGAGTTCGTCTGCGCCGCCAGGGTAGTATGTACGGGGGCGGTGCTCCATCCCGCAGCCCTCAGGCGGCGTACCCTCCGACAGTCGAGACCCCATCCGTTCGTCACCTGAAGCCGACGTCCGTCCGCGCGCCTGCAACGTGTCTGTTGTGTCCCGCAACTGTGCGCCGTCTGATCAATACGTCCCGAGGCCGGCCCGCGGCGTCAACAGGCGGAGCAGTCAGATCACATCGGACAGGATCTGATCTGATCGGGTCAGCGCGCTGCTCCCGTGGTGTTCGGAGACAGGCGGCGAGGACAAAAACCGCAGGCCAGTCCGGATGACCGTATTGAGCGTCCTTCGAACGTGACAACGCCGCCCCAAGAACCATCGATGACAAGAGTCGCCATGGGTAGGGTAAAGATGTGAGTTGAAGAGATGGATGTCACGGAGTTCAAATAGGCCACCGAATAACGACATGTTTGAAAGATGCTGAGAAAATGTGACGAAAATATGACGCCCAAAAAAGTAGGTACAACTTACAAGTCTGATATACGTTGTGGCATGCTACACGCAAGGACAGATCCAGGATAGCAAATGCATAATTCAGTATTCACAGTGAACTACCACTCTTGTACGCCATCAATGCGTCATCAATGTAGGACGCATATAATCAGGGCGTGAATCAAAGGAGACCGACGGTTGTAAGACGACTGCTGACGCGACTTTTGACATATGTTCATGATCACAGAAAACAGCCGAATAAAGCAATTATTGCATTTCAATTTTTCCCGGCGATGAATCATTGTCAAAAGTAGTGGCAGAGAGGAACAATGGGAGTAAACAGGCGAGAACCATGACTGGTGGAGCCCCGGGAGGATGGCGACGTCTACGAGCAAGCAAGTTGGGTCGGAAGCGTAATCTCATGGACCCAGCGCTATCCTATCCGGGATTCTCACGCCGTCCCATGCGGCCAGGAGGCGTCGAGGCCACTCTCCATCCGTCTTGTTCGGAGATCGAGTCCCGATGGCCGGATCTAGATCAAATGTAGAAACTTCCCATTGAACATACTGCTCCTCGACGTCTAGCAGCGAAGACATTTGATCGCCCCCTCGGGAGTGACCTCTCAAATGTGGAGTCGATGTTTGGATGATGATCATAATGTCGATCTTGATACCTAATTGATGTCGAGGGCTTCTTCGATGTCGGGTCGGTAAAGAGCACTGCATCTTTCTAAGCAAAGCAGAGCATTTGCCTCCACTTAAGCAGCGCTCAGTTTTTCATAGCAGCATGTTGATCTTTTGGCTTGCATCTATTATCTTGCTACTTTAATTTTATATCGCCCGGCCGGACGATATAAAATTAAAGTAGTAAGATAATAGATGTCACCCGGTATTATTCCGAATAATACCCAAGACATCTAAGGATAACCTTGAAAGTTGACATCAAAACAGGTCAAGGTCAAGACCTGACACAACGAAAGGGTCATATTGCAAGTCAAGCACCGTCGTAGCTGATGACATGTCCTGACCTTCAATGGTAGATGAATATTATCGAAAAAAGCGTCCTTCTTTCCACCGCCAGGCGCCACACCTAGGTTGCCTCGTGGAGGACTTGGCTGAGTGAGGAATGGGGGTGGGGGGGGGAGGAGTTCGCACACATCCGCAAGGGTTGGGTTGGAGTGGAGAAGGTCTGTCATGTCATGCAATTCAATGGGTATCAATTCAAATAAGTTACTGAGAACTATATGCATTCCAAACACTCAACAGCTGGAGCCTTACCTGCACCTGCAGCAGCTGTGCAAGGAAGCGCGGAGAGTCTCCCACTCCCGGTTTCCGAAGCGCAGGCCCAAGGCTAGCAGGCCACTGTCTGGATGACTCGGACGGAATTATCGAAACAGAAATTAGACCTAGAAGGGCACACGCCACAATTCGCTCACCACACAGCGATGCACGGGCGTGATAGGCACCACCACTGGACCACGCGGACGGCGGCGAGCGGGCACAACCGGCACGGAGCGCCACCAGCTCGGAACTGACACACGCGGGTTCCCCGCGCCTGACCTTGACCCGGTGCCAGGCGGGACGGAACCTCCCTGCCACCAACCCGTGTGGCAAAAATGCAGGAAACTTTTAGTACTGATCACGCTCACTAATTATACCTCGTCCGCAACACCATTTCGCGATAACTTGCAACACAAGCGTCACCAAAACGCGAGCGAACAGTACCCCCCCGCCGCACCTTCACTTTTGGCCGCGGGCTGCTGTGATGCCAGATGTGTAAACTGACCGCTGCCAAGTGATGACGACTTATCGAAAAGTCTCTTTTACTAGTGACATTCTGACAATCCTCCTATAATTTTCAGAGCTGGGCGCGTTCCTCGATTTTCGGTAGTGCGTTAGCGTTCCTGCGTTCCTCCGGCCGCGGTTAGTGCGTTCCTGGAATAGCGTTCCTCATTTTTTTTCGTTCGGTGCGTTAGCGTTCCTGCGTTCCTGCGTTCCTCCCTCAAAAATACCGCCGAACCACGCGGCGCGGGCCCAACCAAACACGGGGCGAATCGATCACAGAATACCCAGAATGGCGACGTGGGGCCGAAAAGCAACTCGACATCTCTTTTCCGAATCGAATATCTGAAATACGTTTTACGAACATCATCCGTAGGGTTTTCAACAAAAATACGACCTGCTTAAAAACAATAGTTAAGTTAAAAGATGTATCTTAGTAAAAGTTATCATATTTATTTTACACATTTAATGCCTGAAACTGAACCGAATAGTAAACATCACCACTAAAAATCTTTACACATTTAATGCCTGAAACCGAATCGAATAGTAAACATCACCACTAAATCTAAGCAAGCCTTCTTCGATTCGACCGACAAGTGGCGCCTCTACCGGCAAACACACGTACTCGAGATTCAAACATTTGACACAGAGGTCATTGGCAGCAATATAATTTTTCGGGTTGTTCCGCAAGAACGCAGGAACGCTTCAAAATTTCGGGTGGTGCGTTCCTCTTACTTGCGTTCCTTTGAAAAACCTTGCGTTCTTGCGTTCCTAAAAAGGGCGGTGCGTACGTACGGAAGAACGCAGGAACGCACTAAAGGAACGCACTTGCCCAGCTCTGATAATTTTAGTCTTTATTTTCTATGATTTTACAGATGTTAGACGTTCATTCACTTATCCAGGCAGGTTTGGTGAAGAAAATACAATCATCCATTCACCCATGCTTCATTCATTTATTCATTTCACAGCTAACCAGAAAATGCCCAATGCCTATCAGATGAAATTGAAGTCATGAAAGCACAAATGAAAAACAACAAATGAAGATAAAACTCTATTGCAATGCAATTCAACTAGAATGAACCTTCAGAAGCTCCTTGACATCTTAGGAAAACCTGAAAAGAAATATCCGTCTTGACTTTCTCCAGGTATTTTAAGAATCTTGAGACATTTGAAAAAAAAATAAGACTTAAATCTCTAAAAGACGAGACCTGAAGAAAAGTCTCCAAAGTATCATACAGTACTGACGCAGGTCAGACATTACATGGCGCAAAACAAAGTCGACATCCCCGCCCTTTTGTTTACGCATTCGCGAAAGACACGTGGTTGGAGTTACATTAATTTTAACAGTGTTTTTATATACCTTGATTTTAACCATCATTTGGCCTGCTTGAGGGATCACTATTGCTCCGTGCTTACAATTTTATCCAAAGTCACCCGTTACCATAGGCGGCGGAACGATTTGAGACAAGGGGGGGCACCATGGCTCAAGGAGCCAAACCTAGGGTACCCCCAAATCCTGTTTTCTCATCGGATTTAGGCCACTTATTTTTCGTCACAGCCCTGACACGATATTTTTTTTTGTTTTTTTTTTACTAAACGAAAATGGCAGTTCACCCCCGTATGCAGGGGTGTACCTAATTTTATATCTCTTTGTGGGGGCATATGCACCCACAATCCTGAAGTATGCCCCCACAATGATGAAAAGGCACCCACAAGTCTTTTACAAGGCTGCAAGCGTCCTTTCGAGAGCACGGTGCCCTTCGCATGCTCTAACGGCGTCCTCCTGACCGTCTCGCGTTCATGGATAGCGTTTTGATCACTCGGCGCCCTTCTGGGAGAACGGCGCACTTTTGACAGCACCACGCCATTCTCATGGTCTAACGGCGCCCTCCTGACCGTCGCGCGTCCTTATGGTCTCTGTTCACCGCGCATCCCTCGACTATTCGGCGCCCTTCTGGCCTCTCAGCGCCCCTGAACCACATATAGCGTTTTCAATCACTCGGCACCCTTTTACGAGAATGGCGCCCTTTTCATGATCTCAAGGCGCCCTCGTAACCATCTGGCGCCCCCACGTCCCCACCAACGTAGCACTACTGACTGTGCGGCGCCCTTCTGGCCTCTTAGCGCCCCTGGACCACATAGCGTTTTCAATCACTCGGCGCCCTCCTAAGAGAATGGCGCCCTTTTCATCGTCTCACGGCGCCCTCGTAAGTCGTAACCGTCTGGCGCCTCCACATTTGGTGCCCCTCCTACTGGATGGCGCCTCTCTACATATTTTTTACGTCCTTACGGTCAGTTTCCACTTTTAGGCGTGTATTTGCTTAGTCAGACACGTCACTTGAAGCGCCATTCGGCTAGCAATGTTATCAAATTCGGTGTTAATTTAGGCTCCCACATAAAGAATATCTATCGCGCCCCAAAACGGCCTGGCGCCGGGCGCCCCTACAGCTGGGCACCCACAATCATTTTAGGAAAATTACACCCCTGCCCGTATGTGTGGTTAACTTTAAGCTGATCCTCAAGTACCTATGTGTTTGTCTCTTCCTTATTGTCGTTTGATAAATTCCATTTATCCTACATGTATAATTCCCAAGAAGCCATCGCAGTACTAATCAGTGGCGAATCCCAGGGTGGAGGTCACATGGGTCATGACTTAGGACCTGGGGTCACCACATGCCTGCCAGGAGCACCACAGGCCTGACAGCCGACAGGGGCACCACAGGCCCGCCAGGGGTGCCAAAGGCCTAGCAGGGGCACCACGGGCCTGTCAGTAGCACCACAGGCCTGTCAGGAGCACCATCGGCCTAGCAAAAGCACTACAGGTCTTCCAGGGGCACCACAGACCTGCCAGGGGCACCAGAGGCCTGTCAGGGACACTATCGGCTTCGCAGGGGAACCACCGGCTTCGCAAGGGCACCATGGGCCTGTCAAGGGCACCACAAGCCTGTCGTTGGCAATTTAGGATTGTCAGAGGCACCACAAACCTGTCAAGGGCACCTGCGTTCTAACAGGGGCACCACAAACCTGCCAAGGCCCAGGGACACCACAGGCCTAGCAAGGACACCACAGGCCTGTCAGGGGCACCACGGGCCTGTCAGGGCCCATGGGCACCTAAGTCATGTCAGGGCCCACCGTAGGCTTGTCAGGGGGCAGGGTAGGTAGGTACCACAGTCTTTCCAGGGGCACCAGCGGCTTAGCAGGGGCACCAGTCATCACATGACTAGCCAAAAATAAAGAAAAAAACTGAAAATAGGGCACCACCAAAATTAAGTGGCCGAAATCCGTTGAGGTTTTAATTTTGGGCATAGGTAGGGGCACCACTTCGATTCATGAACCTCCCCTTAGAGTTTTCCCGAATCCGCCCCTGGTACTAATACATCAAATTTAAGGGGGGCACCTTGCTATTGGTGCCCCCCTTGCAGAATTCAAGGGGGGGCACGGTGCCCCGGTGCCCCCCCCGTTCCGCCGCCACGGATATCGTAACCGTATCGTATCAATAACCCGGTTTAAATAGCATATTGATATTTGACGAGGCTCTAGCTCGTTAATTTGGCGATAATTTCGATGCAGTGGTCTTCAGATATTTAGAGGGGATCATTTTGTAAATTGTTAGGCACCATTGGCATCTTTTGCAACATCACGGATGGAGATATAAGCTTGCAACAAACCCTATGTAAACCGGTCTATTGGTTGTGATTGTCTTATCAGTCGATTGTCAAATTTTTTATTCATGCTCATGCTGGTTCAGGCTTCATAATGCAAAAATGTTGGATGAAATTAAGAACTTTTGAACTTCATGTAACTTTTTTTAATATAATATTTGCTTAACAATACATTATTCACTTTCTTTGTTCCTCATTTTTGTCACATCTCCAATTATTGTTACCTTATTTTTATGTTAATGTAATGTATTAGTGTGGTATTAGTGTTATGTATTGTTATGTTGTGTGGTGTGAATGATGTCTAATGTCTATTTGGCTGATGAATCACTTCAACTTAGGCAGTTACCTAGGTACTGCACTACGGACACACCATAGCATATTAAAGAATTTTGAAGGTCACTTGGCCTGATGGTCCCATTCTCATATTGAGCAGTGCATTTGTTCAATCAGGAATGTTGTAGGTATCAAATGTGATCCCAGTGCAGTGACTAGTGACTAATGATTGCATCCAGGCATGAAGGAGCAATTATGACCTAGAGGGAGAGGGGTGGTGGCTCCAGTCATAAATTACTCTAATGCTGAATCAGTGTGAAGCTGAGATAACAAAGATATTATTAAAATGATATAAAAGGGAAGCATTCTATTATAAGCATGTGTTGCAGTTGTGACTCAATTACTAATCAATAATGATAGATGAACAGAATAGTCAGAGGTTCAAAAATATCTGTCAGCTGGTTTTGCACAAGAACCCATGCTTGTCATTCTCATATTTTCCTCACTAATGTATCACTCTAGTTTGATTTTCACCTGTTTCTAGTCATAAACCCTATATAGAAGGTATCAGTATCATTCATGACTTGTAACCCACTGATTCAGGAAATGCATTGTACTAAATAAATGTATAACATAACAAGCAACATCAGGAGCATTGTTTTGGGGCAAAAATTGCATCATGATGGATGGGACCTGGGAATAAGCATAAAGCATTCATGTACATGTACCAAGTTCATTTATGTCCCTTTTACACACTGCCTATTTATGTCTTATTTCTTTACTGGGCATAACCTGAAACACCTTTTATATTGTTTTAGGTATTCAGCCATGTCTGCACCATGTGACAACTGTGCTGAAATGGAGGATGACCCAGCAGAGGAGGACCTGGCCGATGCCGGGCCGGCAGAACCGGAGGAGGTGTGGCGCTCCACCGCCGCCGACCCGTCGCCCTCACACCGGCGCTGCGTGATTCACATCGACATCGACTGCTTCTACGCCCAGGTGGAGATGCTGGAACGGCCGGAGCTGCGCGATAAACCGCTGGGCATCCAGCAGAAGAACATTGTCGTCACCAGCAACTACGCGGCTCGCGCGCGCGGCGTCGGCAAGTGCTGCCTGGTGACGGAGGCGCTGCAGGCCTGCCCCGACCTGGTGCTGGTGAACGGCTCCGACCTGACGCGCTACCGGCGCATGTCAGCGCGCATCCACCGGCTGCTGACGCGCTTCTCGCGGCGCGTCGAGCGGCTCGGCTTCGACGAGAACTTCCTGGACGTCACGGAGGCGGCGACACGCGCGGCGGGCGGTCGGCCGGCCGCGGCGCCGCCCGGACACGCGCTGGGGAGCGCCGACAGCTGCTCGTGCGGGTGCTCAGCGCGGCTGACGGCGGCGGCGAGTTTGGCAGCGGACGTGCGCCGCGCCCTCCGAGAGGAGCTCGGCATCACCAGCTGTGCCGGCATCAGCTTCAACAAACTCCTCGCTAAGCTGGCTGGGGCGACACACAAGCCCGACCAGCAGACGGTGCTGTTTTTCGGAGGCGTGAACGAGCTGCTGCTGTCTGCCGGCGCTGTGCGCTCGCTGCCCGGCGTCGGCTCGCGCACCGCCGCACAGCTAGGTGATCTCGGGGTGCGGACGACGGCCGATCTCCGCCGAGCGACCCCGGCTCAGCTGCGGCCTCTGGGCAGCGCCGCCACGGTCGCGGCTCTGAGGGCTCTGGCGTTCGGTGTGGACCCGGGTGAGGTGAAGCCCTCCTCCGCCGCGCTCAGTATCGGCGTCGAGGACGGGTTCCGGCGGGTGGACAGTGTCGAGGAGTGTGAGGTGAAGCTCCGGGAGCTCGCCCGGCGCGTCCTGGTGCTGCTCGGTGAGGACGGGCGCACGCCGACCGTGCTCAAGCTGTCGATCCGCCGCTACAACCGAGAGGACTACGGCAGGTTCAGAGAGAGCCGGCAGACCAAGGTGCCGCCCTCGCTGTTCGCCAGGTGGAGGGAGCGCGAGCGGGAGGTGTGCGACAGGCTGCTGGCCGAGGCCATGGTGCTGCTGAAGAAGATGTTGAAGGACGAGCCGTTCCACCTGACGCTGCTCGGACTGGCCGTGACCGGGTTCAGCGAACAGAGCGGCTCGGAGAAGGCCGGCATCGCCAGGTTTGTCCAGAAGGCTGCCTCCTCGGCTACCAAGAGGAAGAGTCTAGATGATGCCACAGGAGATGACGCCCCTCCCGGAGGCGTAGATCCGGCAGTGTGGGAGAGCCTGCCGCCGGACATCAAATCGGAACTGCTACGTGACCAGGAGGTGGGCCCGAGCAAGAAACAAAAGCAGAGGTCTATTGCCAGCTTCTTTGGCGGTTCAATCGATTCAAAGAGTGACTCTAAGCTCGCCGCTCTAGATGAGAGGTCAGACAGCATGCCAACGTGCTCTGATAAGGCTGGGGACACTGCAGGTGACGAAGTGACACGGTCAAGGAGCCCTTCCCCCGTGGAGCTACAGGACAGTGACGATGACAGGGGATCAGACAGTGACCTGGATGACCCCGACAGTGACTCTGATGACCCAGGGTCACCGGTCATCGCGAGGTCGGCGACGACCCGTCGTGAGGCTGAGTCGAAGGTGAATAGTTCCACCACTGAACGGGAGACTTTGGACGCCGAACAGGTGAGAACCGCTTCTCCCACCAGAGGTGGTCGGTCGGACGACCCAGTGAACTCGCGATCAGTTGCAAATTCTTCACCTCATGTAACCTCCGAACGACCCCAGGCGCCGAGCGTTTCTACCCAAGCAAACCCCGCTCATCGTTCACACCCCTCATCGGAGGAGAGAGCTGACAGCGAGGAGACGCCAGCCACCCTACATAGGCGGGCCTCGGCGCAGTCCCCGTCATCCTCCGCCCCCGGACCCGTACCGGACTCAGCATCATCAGCTGCAGCATCAGCTGCAGCTGACCCAGACCCGAGCGCTCGGTGTGAGGACCAGACCCCAGGCGGAGGAGGGTCGGGGACCGGCCCGGAGGACTGGGACCCGGACGTGTTCAGTCAGCTGCCGCCGGACATTCAGTTCGAGCTGAAGATGGCGCGTCGGTCGGCGGGCCGTGGGGCGCCCTCCGGTGGTGGAAAGGTCAGTCCCAGGGGACCAACTGCCGCTGCCGTCGGCGCTGGAGCCGCCGGGCGAGCCAGGAACGGGTCGATTCTGAAGTTCTTTAAGAAGTGATTGTGCTGTTAGGTTAGATCTGTCTGATTTTCTAATCGCGTATTGTACAGTGTTGAAGCGTCGACTGTTTTGTTGGCGGGCCAGTTGTCCAATCCATTGAAGCCGTATCGTGCAATCAATTATGTTTGCATCTTTAAATATGCCTGGATGGGTTTCATTGCAGTCGCCCGGACGGATTGGAGATGCGCTTAGAGGCTTTCACCAACCCGCAGAGCCCGGATGGGACGAACGGGTGCGTGGCGCTCGGCTCAGAGCGGAGCCGCCTGTCAATGTGCTGTGTTGAAATACTGCCGTTAGAAGCTTGGAAATGTGATACGTTTTTACAATATATGTCTTTACAACGCATAAGATTTCGGAAGTGCTTTATTGCGAACCCGAGGCATGCTCAAGAACAATGGTTAACCACGTACAAACTACAAACAGGCAGTATTATTGTAACGTCTGTATTTATCTCGGTGTATTGCACATGTGACTAGACGTTAGTGGTGATCGCGCATCCGTGCACCAAAAATCACCGTGTAAAGGATATCTGTCTCGATAAAGCGTCAGACCAGACTCGCACTATACATCCGACTAGCCGGGGCCGACCCTCCGAGCCAGATGTTCCCACTAATCGTGTCCATGCGCAATGACGAACCGTTAACCGTCGGCCGGGGAGGCCCCTACCACTGGGTCGGCTCGGCTCCCCGTAACGTACTTCACACTCTGAGAGCTCGGTCGCTCCACGAGGGTTCCAGTACAGCGCCCAATAAGAGATAACAGTCCGAGGCGAGATACAATGACATACACACACGCACACAAACCGGCATTACTAACGCGGCGGAACAACAATTGTCCAGCGGGTGTGCTCGACGCGGTAACACGACGACAAGTGACGCCACGTGGTAGGTTTCAGCGGCCAGCAACTGCTGAGACGTATACCTGTTCTTACTGATCATGTCATGATAACAAACATGAAAAATGTTAGCTTGACAACGCTCATGGTATCGAATGTCGTCACGTTGATCGGGAGATTCCGGTATGTCCGTACACGCACACATACAGATTACAGACATACATCCACTGCGAGCATTACGAACCGCATGCCATGACTAGATTGTCGGGGTAGTAAGTAGGTATGTGAACACTAACATTCTTCAGTATCACGACAATACCAGGTTAAAGAAACTCACAAACTGAAAAGGCACTAGAAACTAGTGACTACGCATATAGATGTACGGCATCTAAATTAAAACTGCAACTGGTAAAAAGAAATAAAAAGTTCTTACACGGGAACCTAAAAAATCCGGTAAATATGCCTCATAAAGCGAGCCACAAAAACGTACATACACACAAAGTAAAGCGTTCCCTAAAAATGCACAACTCAGCTGCAAAACGAAAGCACTATGGTGACTAGAGCAGCCCTGCCATTCCGATGTGGATACAGTTCGGTACATGTGTCTCAGTGAGCACTGACGCTGAAACTTTGACTGACTGAGGTAAATTCAGATCAGAGAAGCCGATACGGACGGGTGAGTATTACGGGTGGGGATAATACAATCGCCATCAATTTGATTTTGACAAAATGGTAACCCCACACACACCACACGGTTTACTCCAAACGAGTGGCGCGTGCCTTCCCGGCAGCACTGTCATCAACACCCCACCTTCTGAACGTACGGTCCAAATGTACCGGCGACCTGTCCCACCACCTCGGCCACGTTTTCACTCCCGGCGCCGGGCTGGGCGCTGCTCCCTCTCCTCAGGGACCTCACGCCGGGCCGGGCGAACCATCGACAGTTCGAACAGTGTCGCGCCACACGCAGACCCCACCGACCTCTCCTCTACCGTCTCGTTCCTTCTCGTCCGTCGGTCGGTTCACGACTTCAGCTCCTGGACCCGCCTCCGTCCCGCCACGTCTGCCTTGGTGCCGTTGGCAGCCGCGTGGCCGTTCTTCTCCTTGGAGCCCTTCTTCTTGTTCACCGCTGGACGGAGGGAAAACAGACAGGCGAAATGTTAATACAGAATAGTACGATGGACATTTTGAAGCTACATACTTCTCCTTGATATTTGCATTTCGCGTTTCTAGTAAAATAACAGAAAAGAACAATCTTCCGAAATAATGATCCTTGTTTACACTTCGACATGACTGACAATTCTGCCAGTCCGTTTCTCTACAAACAAAATGCATAACCACTAACAAATATATCCCTCTGTTATGTCAGTGTGGCTGAGAGCTTACCCTGGGCCGCCTTGCCAACGTCCTCCTCCAGTGAAGCCAGAGACGCCTCCGTCTGAAAACCGTACGGGGATGAGACGTCACCACACCAACAACACCACACTGACCACACAAGGACCGGTGTATGCCCACATATGGCCTTATTGCTGCCCTAAGAGCAGTGTGCGTGAGCGGCCTATCTCAGTCCTACCTGTACCAGTGACTCCATGGTCTATTGGTCTAGCTAACTATACCGTGCGTGAGCCGTCCCTTGTAAGTCGTACCTGTGCCAGCGACTCCATGGAGAGTGAGCGCTCCGACGCCAGGCTGTCCGAGGCCACAGAGTCGGTGGAGCCCCACAGGTCCTGTCGGGAGGGGACGGGGCGTCACCGGCAGAACTTCAACCACATAGGGGGGGGGGGGGGAGGGAGAAAATCCGAGGTGACGACTGACAGCCCAACAAAGGAAGTGGTAGCGTATAACAATCTCGTCGGCACATCGAGTGCCGATCACATCAACAATCAGTGTCGACGATCGCATCGACCAGCGTGCAAATTGTTGAATGCATGCAATCTGCAGCTTCTTTGTGTAATATGCGATCGCTGATGTGATGACCCACCTCCTGATCCTCCGGATCGGCCTCCTCCTGCTCCTGATGCTCTGACTCCTGATCAGAGGGCAGCTTGGAATGACACGACACAAAGGTTTTAAAATATCTGCTGGAGAAAAGATTACCACTGCTTCGCCTGCTTACCTCGTTCCTGTCTATCCATCTGCATTGCATGGGCAAACATTAATAGTTAATCGTTGATTGACTAATTTTGTCGCCGTTTCCCTTTGTAAGTTTTGTAGTACAAAATAGTGTTTTTGTCTTTTGAGAAAAAGTTCAAACAGCTCAAGTAATAAATTGCTCCATCTAAGCTGAAGTATTCTTACCTGATCCTCAACTTCCTCCTCTCCATCATCAGGCTCATCCTTGTTAGCGGCATGATGGAAATGTCAATCGTCAAAAGCTGCCGTCGCTCAGTTACAGTCGTGAAATGTGTCGCAACTATCACGTTAGGTAGGTTCACCATTATATTAGCAGGTATTCACTGGGCCTTACAATATTCTTGTACCCTGACTTAATTGCCAAACGGCGGCAATTATCCATATCCATCAAACACCAACACAAGCATACCAAAGAACACGGAGGAGAGCATAACTGGGAACCGTCCAGTCCCCAGTCCAGAAATCAATCACACCACCCAAATTAAACGACTTCATGCCACCGTAGTGTAACAACGATTCCGATCAGCTTCACCCTCTAGTCATCCACTCAAGACCACGCCCCCGCTGGCTGCATATCCCACCTGTTTGATGGCCTTGATGTTGGAGCTGATCTTGGCGACGTTCAGTTTTTCCGAGACGGTGCTCATCTGTTTCATGATGCGCTCCATGGCTCTCTCGGTCTCCTCCAGCCGGCGGCGCAACTGGTCAATCTCGGCGTCCTCCGCTGAAACCAACACAGAGACCGGAAAGTCACAAGGGTGTCATACTAGGGACATCGAAGGTTAGAAAGACATTGGGTAGCTGGGGGCGATAACCGGGGTAATGGGAGGCTAAAAGGAAGGAGGGCCAACGGGACGAGGTCAACTGAATTGTACGAGAGAACTCATTCCGAGTTCAGATAGTTGCGGGTTAAAGAGACATGGGAACACGTCTGCTCTTTAAAACTAGTACAATGATTGAGCAGTATGAAGGAGTGAAAATCGAGAACATCATTTAACAATATGAACAACTGCTAGGAGACGAACCCATTACGCAGCTACAACAGACATGACAGGGCACTCACGTCGGGTCTGCGCCGATGCGGCAGCGGGGACAGAGTTGGCAGCAGGCGCGGCAGCAGCGGTGACGGCCGCCTTCTGTCTGGGCGGCGGGGTCTCAGGCTCGGGCGGGGGCCGGCGCACGACCACGGGGCGGCAGCGGCCGGCCGGCGCGCCGTCCACCGCCGAGCGGCCCGAGCCGGAGTGGTAACCGTACGAACGGTACTCGGTGGACAGGTGGTAGTCGGGAATGATGGGCTCCTTGCTCTCCGACGGGTCCGGGTTCTTGAACATCACCTGAGACACGGGGAAACAGTCAGACGCTGGACGGAATAAATGATTGATGGAGAGGGAAACGAAGAATGAAACAATGACGCTGGGCAAGCATGTATTAGCTTCAGTGTTATTAATCAGACAATCCATTAAAAATGAAAATGTTGAGGCAACTTAAGGCTGGACAATAAATCGTAGACGGACCCACTTTTCCTAGTTCTCAACACAGCCTCATTGTTCTAGCTTGAAGCACATCCCATTAGTCGTAAATAATCACGTAACTACTGTTTCCTCTTTCCACCACTAGATGTCAGCCGCGTCGCGCACAGGAGCACCGCAGCGGAACGCGCCGGTAAATCTCTGAAAGTCTCCGTTGCCAGATAGCCTTGGCCGTGGCCCGGGGCCTGTCTCCGGCGGCGGCAGGGCGCTGTTGCCAGCCTATTTCGGGCGGCCGTCTGCCCGACACCAGACAGAGTGTAGCGGGGCGGCAGAAATGCGGCCGGCCGACTGTCACCGGCCGATCGGGGCTCCGTCCGCGCCCGGTGCAGAGTCGCCGGCACAGCTGAGAGACTTTGAACTCGAGCATCAGCTGTGCGGAGGTGGCCAAGGGTTTTCTAACCCGCTCGGATAGCGATGAGAAGGTATTATCCGAGACTGATAACCGAGGATATGCCGCGGCGGACGAAGCCGTATGACATACGCACGTCATGGAAGCCAAATAATGGCGCGATGTTTCGGCGGGAACTCGATAGGATGGGTGCGCCAAGACAGCCGGTCCGTGAGATGGGGTGGAAAGGTCACGCCTGCATTTTTAACATACACCGCCAATGGCCGCTCTGGGCAGACACCCGGCCCGCGGAGGCCTCGGCTGGAGCAGCGGCCGACCCCGAAATAGCAGCCAATGCGGGGACGTCCTGAGAGCACTGACGACACGGCGCCCATAAATCACCGAGATGGGAAAACGGTAATGACGCAACATAACCCCGAATATCTGAGCGGCGCATCAAAAATAACCACCGCACAAAACGCCAGCTCTGTGGGGCCTAAAGTTTCACAAAACTGTCGGACTCGGCTCCCTCCAACTATCACACCAAATAGTTTAAGAGATAGTTAATAACTCTACGGCGATCCCGCCCACACAAATATCACTATCCAAACAGTACCTTTGCCAAAATACTCTAACCCCATCCCCGAACTCTCAATGACCTCGTAATTAACGGTCGTGTCGTGACTGATGTGAGACAAATCATCACCTTGCTCGGGCCGGTCGGGGGCCCCGGCTGGTATCGGCAGGGCAGCCTGTATAACCTCCGTCGGGCTCAGCTCGGGGCAGTCAGGTACGCGAGGAATGTATGCCGCCGCCCCACACTGGGCCGGGGGTCCGGAAAAGTGCTAGAAATTATTTGTGATTGAGTTGTTGATCTCAGTGACAAGCAAACATGCTAAAAACGAAGTGGGGCTGCTTAACCCTCGCCGGACCTATTGTCGGACCCCCCACCCCCTCGGCCGGCCGAGGGGGAGGGTTGGTACGACCCCTTTTTGCCGTTTCGCCCCTTATGGAGCTAGAGCCTCGCGGAAAAAACAAGCGTGTGCGCCGTTTCAAGGCGGAACGATTGATACCCGATTTTAAGGTCCCAGGTCAACCGGTAACCTCTGAGGTGAAGTCAAAAGGCCCAAGGTAGGGTTTGGTTTTTGGCAAATAATTTCGCAAAAAATGGCCGCAGAGCAGCGATTTTGGCACCATCGTGCTCGCCTGGCTCGGCCCGTCGAATGGTATACTTTTTGTTCGGGTGAGGTCAACTTAACCCGGCAGTTGCTGGAGTATTTCGCCACCCACCGTTTGCTGGGGGGGGGGGGGGCGTTAAACGCCCCCAGCCGATAACTCGAGAACCAATAGGCGCAGCGAAACGCACGAGGCGGCAAACGAAAGAGCGCGACGAGACGCTTCAGATGAGTACTTTAAAGTTGAGTTTTGAGGTCACAGGTCGGGTCAAGGTCAGGTCAAACACCTGAAATCGGCCTTTCAGTAGCATGGACTTCAGGACTTCGCAATGGGCGCCTCTCGTCATAAACTCTGTCAAAATGGTGCACAATCCATCGTATAAGGTCTACAAGAGTGTCAGCTCCATGTAGGGGTCAGTCAAGCATAGGTCAGGGTCAAGGTCAGGTCAACCGGGTAGGCACATATCCCCGAAAATCAAAACTGATATTCGCAGCCCGTGACACGTGTTTTATGGGTAATTTGGGGCGTAGAACACGATGGTGACATTCATTTTATCATATGTGTACGTGTTTTGCTAAAAATGTTTAATTTAAGAAATGCATGTATCATAGTCGTGAAGTAGTCACGAGAAATTGTCAAGATTCAGTTCAAGATTTTGGAAAATGCGGAGCGATAATCAATAATCGAAGATAGCCATTTGATTGTTCATGGTATTGGCAGTCTAATGGCGTTTACGACATGTCTGTATGTCTATTCTGTGATTTTATATGATTTTTTGAACATACGCCGTTTTTGGTCGAAAATTAAAAATCATGACGTCACTAAAACCTCGATATCTCAAAAATTGTCCGACCGATTTTTTTTGAAACTTTGTCACAATAAACTTCAATCAATTCCCTACAGGTACCCAAAATTTGGCGCGCGTTTTTATGCCCGGCGAAAAAAGTGGGGGCGTTTAACGCCCCCCCCCCCCCCCCCCAGCAACTCGCGGGTTAAGGTATTGACCTCGAGTCAAGGTCAGTTCAGAGCCCATCAGGCCACGAACTTATCGAAGGAGGTCGTATCGCATATCATTCGATTCGGGAGGTCTTCCCGAGTCCATTGGTGGCTTTCCCGAGTCGCTGGCTCAATTTGATCATGAGTTATTGACGAGAAACTCCTATGACCGGTGTGACGTCATAAATGACGTCACGGAAGGTCAAAAATGCAAAAGTAAAGCATCGGATCTTGCAAGGAGTGCACGAAATCACGATTCCGTGTGCTTGAGATAGTTTGAAATCATTCCATGCGCAAAAACAACAGTTTCCTTATTTCCCCATTCACTTTTAATGGTGAGGTCACGTGACCTCGAAGAGTAGCAGGCATTAGCAAAAATTGCGAGTAGGGCATGACAGAAAGATGATTGGTGGTTTGTATGGCATGGCCATTTTTAACGGCTCGAAGTAACATTTCTCAAAAAGTCTAACTAAAGAGCAAGTTGTTGTTGATTATCACTGACTTGTGTTTAGGGGTTAATAATGACTGAATTTTTTAGTTTGGCCCAGAAATGTTGACAGCATTGTGTGCGTTGATCAATTCTGAGCTCAGGGACATATATTCTATTTAGATTATAAGCGTTTGTTTTTCACAACTTCCAGCGTTTTAAAGAGCGCCGGGCCTTCAGTAGAGCGGCGAGGTGACAATTGCCCCTACATCATGTGGTTTACTGGCGCATATCTCGAAAAGTAGCAGGGAAAAGCAGCAAAGCACCTATATGGAACAAAAGATGAGTAATCAGAGGATAGTATAAAATGTTCATTTTTAGCTGCTCGAAATAACGTTTTTATAAAAGTCTAATTAAAAAATTGGATATGATTTTAAATTACGTCTTGCAGCTGCTTGCAAACAGCTAGCTTATCTTGCAGAAAAGCGATGCAATATGTCAGAATGATGTTGGCACAGTGAACAACAGTGCCCTGAACTAGTCTGACAGGAAATTTCGTTCAAAACGACGATTGGTCAACTAATAAATTACCACTAAAGTTCATCATTAAAATCGGTAAATGTGGTGGCCTATAGAGAGTCTAAATTGTCTTGTGTTTGGCGACAACTGACGAGCTCAATTTTGACCTTAGGGCAAAACTAGCATCGGAATCGTATTCTTCGATCAATTTGGGATTAAATGATACCTATTTTGTTCATATTGCGGACAGTCAGTTTGGGGGAATTTCTAGCGCTTTTTCAGGCTGCCGGCCTACAGTGCGCCCCCCGGGGGGTCGGCAGGGGCCGACGAGAGCCAGGATAGACGCTCGCGGCACGTGAGCACGTAACATAACACGGTAGGTAGGGTGTCGAGGTCGGCAGGAATCATAGGCACCCGGCGAGCTTCAGGTTTGTCGCGTTAGCACAGCATCGAAAAATGGAAAACCAACTACTGCAATGACGCATAGTGATTCGCAGCATTAGTGAAACTTCCACTCGTATTATCATACCTTATACGCACGTTACAAAATTTCCTTCGTCCCTTACAAAAGCGTGCAAAGATAAGACTATGAAACACCTAGCCCACCTGAGCTCCTTAAAGGCAGACTAAGCACTGTCTCAGCACGCGTCCACAACAGATCTCCTCCAAACTCCACACGCCCATACCAGCCGTCCCCAGCTCCATCACGGCTCTCCGATCTCACCTTGAGTATGGTGTAGACGAAGAAGACGACGATGCCGATGGTGTAGATGGGCATGATGATGCCCATGGTGCTGCTGCCCTTGGTGGACGGCGGCACGGCGCCGTAGCCGCCCGGCGTGGGACGGCTCCCCGGCTGGGGGCCCGGCTGGAACCGGATACACGCCGGGTCAACACGGAATGATACACGGCGGAAAGAGCATGGTCAATAGAGAGTGAGAGGGAGGAACCAATAGAATATGGGTGGCTAGTAGTCAGATGACACTGAACGGAAAGGGAAGGCCACGCGATGAAAGCGAAGAATTTTATCAATAACGAATGACCCATGTTTTCAGGGTGAACATCACAAAACGTCACAGATACACCCGTCCAACCTAGAAGCCAAACGCGTCTACCAGCTCACCGGTGTTACAAAAAGACCCACTGTCCTACCCCCATCGGCCATCCCCCTTCATCTGATACCCGTGTTTCGCTGCTGTGGCCCCGACATCCCCGACATCCTGCCTCCTACTCAACCCACGCTCCGCCCCGCCCCCGTTACGGCCCACCCGACTCACCCGTCCCATTCGGTCCATGATGCGTTTCGGCTGTCGGTTGATGTCGTGTAGGTGAGCCTGGGCGGCGGGCGGCAGGTCTCCGCGCAGTCCCGGGTGGACGGGAACCCTGCGGCCCGCCGGCAGCTGGTCTGTCGGACGGAGAGAGACGGACACTGTCACCACAGGCCTCGGAGTGGAGGAGCTAGAAGGGCGGTGCAAAATGTGATGGGTGAGACCACTGATCACGTTGGCGACAGAAGTAACAAGAGAAGAGTTCGACAAACGTGGTGTTTTGTACGCTAAAAGATCAGATCAGTGACGGCAACGAAGTTTCACTTGAGTAAGTTAACTCTGAAGCTTCAACCTATTTTTTTTTTTTTTATAAATTTAGCTCGAATGTTTGAATGGACGGATTGACAGAGCCGGAGCCCACGCTAAGCAGAGCTTGTTGCGTAGACTCCGACCCCTACCGTCCGATTGCGCAATTCCGGGTAACGGGAGGATTTAGATGCCAAAGTTTAACGTGCCCTTCAAAGCCGGACACGGCCTGTCCCACTCAACTGACTTCAACTGGCTGCGGCTGCTCCCACCAACCGCAGCCATCCCCGTCAGGAGTCTCAAATATCGAGCGCCGGAGCGTCTCGAACCCGGGCTCTCACTACCGGGAGTCCAATGCTCTACCAACTGAGCTACGGGACAGACAAACCTATCTATGTAACATCGGAATGGATATAGCATAAATTCATTAACATCAGACACTTAGTATCTGTTAGCATCAACACATGCACTACAGGGTGTCCGGAAAGTCCTGGCGCTTCTTTTGGACGCCGTGTAACGCGCGCTGTGATTATTGGACATTCAGCCAATCATCACAGACATGACCCCTCGTTGATTGCTCAGCCAGAGGTCGTGTAAATATGACCTTGAAATCGTTTTCAGTGATGGGTAGATGGGCGAAGATGCGCCTTGTCGCTGAATGCCTGCGCGCGGCGGCCGGGTGCGACTTGAACGAGGCTCGAGCTGCAGCGCGATGCGGCGTTTTTCGATGAATGGTTTAGCAGGTAAAGGTTTATTTCGACTCGGGAATTCCTTAGAAAATATCCTCAGACCGTTTCGAACGCGATATGGGAACGGAGCAGCATTTCAGCGCGGCAATCGAAGAAAGTGCGGGGGTCTGATGGATAAAAATGTCCCATCATCTTCGTCAATGTCGAATAAATGAATAACAGGCTGGCCCACGAGGGGTTCCTGGACAGCCACATCAACCCGAGGGTCAAGACGACATGCCCTAAGGGTCACTTCGCATTTCAACAGCACAGAGCACCCTCCAACAACGCCGCTGCCATTCAAGCTAAACTGACAGAGGAGCTTGCCGGGCCAGATCACCGTGGCGAAATGAGATCAGGCCGCCTTATTCTCCTAACCTGACCCGCTCGACTAAGGCGTGCTACGCGTTTTGTAGAACAGGATCTAGGCCATTTCTCACCCCAACCTGGAGTCGCTGAAGACTCGCATCATGACAGCATGGGAGGACCTGGAAATGCCCCGCATCGTCAAAACCCGCAGACGCTTCCTCCCCTACGTCGAGGCCGTCGTCGGCGCCGACGATGGTTACATTGAATGAGCACGTAGCGGAAGCATGTGGCTTGGTGTCCCTGGTCATTGTTTTGATCCATTGATTAGTATCTATGAACCAATGGCATTTGTTTTAGAAAATGTTGAAAAGCGCCAGAACTATCCGGACACCCTGTAGTGGCTGAAATGGCTCGAATTATTCATGCAAAAGATAGGCGTTATTATTCAGAACGAATAGAGCCGTACCACAGCAAACAACCACAATATCAGTATTGCAAACCCCCGACGCATTATAGAGGCAGGTTCACTGTTATTCACAAAGCTTCCAGCTACCGTGTTAGTCATGTTTCACAAAACGCGTGAGAAGGTCAGGAACTGTAACGCAGCCACCATTTCCGTCATCTGGTATTGATGAGCTGCAGCAGTTTGTTAGTCACGCGTCACATTTCTATTAGGACGTCCGCCACCACCGGGACCGTGTGGCGACTCTGTGGCAGCGCTCACTGGCGGCGGTGAGCTCGATCCCGCGTGGCGGCCGGACGTCCGCCCTCCGCACTCCGAACGTCCCCTCCAGGCAGCCCGTCAGGTTCCTGGTGGGCGGGTCGTCGGCGGCGCGGCGGAACTTCTCCAGCGCCGGCTCATCCAGCTGCACGCCGCAGGCGCGCCACAGCTCGTCGGCGCACCAGCCGGCCAGGCCCGGCGTCCAGATGTCCGGCCGCGGCTCGGGCGGTAGGTGCAGCGAGGCAGTCTCGGCGCTGCTGCGGTCGGCCCGCCACGACAGCCGCCGACACAGCTCCGTGAAGAAGAGCGCATTGCGCTCCTTGGTGAACGGCACCGGGTGGCAGCAGGGCAGAATGCTCGGAGGTCGGGTGCCAGTAATGGCAGCTGTTGGATGTGGGGTCATGGAAGAGTTAACCCTCAAGGGAAGGGCAGTGGTAACTGGAGATTCCAGCCAGTGTCAATTGATAACCTATCCATAAATTTTGGGAACCAATCTACCATGCTGCAAAGAATGGTAATGTTGGCAAAACTGTCTCAGCAAAGCCTGGAATATCCCGCAGCCAGTCTTCAGAATGATGTACTGCTTTATGAGCAGCTCAAGCCTAAAAGGCCTGAAGAACAGAGCAGCTCAAGGTCATGGTCTAAAATGTTGTGCTGACAGATGCCCAGGAATCTATTGTGTTGGCAAGGAAGATAGAACAAGATCAGCCATGGCATAATGCTAACATTTGAGCTTCCTTAATTAAGCTGGAGTGGAATGGTTTATCATCTGGTTGATTATCCTGGCTGGCCCAGTATGTCAGCTGTCACCATGACGTGCAATCTGGGCAGTGTTTCACGGGACGCTGCTACCACGCTGCTATCAAATTGCGCGAGCTGACGTCACACTTGTGGTAGTGTTGGAGCAATGGGCCTGTTGATGTTTCCATAGAAACCCAATTTGACACGTGTAAAAGCAGCGTGCTGTTATCACCGGTGAAACAGGGCCCTGGCAGTGATGAAACAGCCACACTGCTCTAGGCATTCTAAAGTGAACAAATTTGTGTGTGGCTGTTTTCAAACAAAATAATTTAAGTCAAAGTAGCATATCTATGATTAACTAAGCTCCAAAAGTTAGGCCTTGCTTACCCCTGGTAACCAGAAGTTAAAAAAGGAGCACACACAGCTTTGTCCGGGATTAAGACCCTTCGCTAACATTTGGGTACACACGACAGCAAGTCCATGCAAGCCGAGTGCATCCACAAGACATCTTCTTAAACCTGGCCATTTCTTGAGTTACAGCAAACATTAATATTGAAAAACTTTTCAAAGTGTGTTTGGCATAACGCAAATCCATATCTAGCCGCAATAACCTCAAGATGAAAAAACTTTTGCAGCCAATTTTTGCGCCAGAAATGACTCATTTTGCGAAGAAGCCTTATACTTGCCTTCATTAGTCGTTTCCGGAGGCGCAGGGGTGAATGAGGACTGCAGCATGGGGAAGAATATTCTTGGCCATAATAAAGCGAAGCAGCCAACAACTAAGGACAAAATAAGCACACTTTTCCCTGACCTAAGCCCCGCAGCGACCTCCATCTTCGACTTGTTGTTATGGTTCGAATTGCCAGTTCTACTTGTTTCAATGAACTTGCGATATACGGCACATGTTCTAGAGATTCGCTATAAGTTATTAGAGATATCTCCAGTCATTTCAAAGAACCGATGCAAAAGCCAAGCCTGATTGCTGACTATTTATGCAGACAAATTGAAGATAAGCTTTCGATCTTTTCACACTTGTTTCCGAAACGTTATAAATAACTGTGCTTCATTTATGAACCCGCTTTGAAGGTTTATTGTTCAGAAACCGACAGAACTCCCAAATCTAGCGAGATTTTTAGATTTTTTTGATAAATTTGAAACGTTATGACGTAATTAAAAAAAACTTGCAACTGTTTTACGTAATATTTCATTTATTTTTCTCATATTTTTAGATATTTAATTCGCAGTAAAATGACATAAATATTCTGATAATAAATCATGCAAGCGATTGAAAAAATGAATACTACGTAATCTTCATTTAAATGATAGTGATGTTTTCTGCTGACTTCGAGATTTTCGGCAACTTGGCTCATCTGGCATCGGCTCTTCGCTTGTTGTGGGCGGACTCGCGCGACGGGAACGGGGATACGCCGCGGAGGGAAGGATAAATATAAATAAAATTGTTCAAATCCGTCACGTAACATGATCCAAGCATGATCCCTTTAATTATCGCGTCTAGCATGGTGAAGAACATATACTACGTTCGGGTTATTCAGATCGAGTAGGGGCCGCTACTGCAACTGGTGCGCAAGCTTGAGAGCTGGGTGATATTGATAAAGGTACCTATAGAGCTTTTTTTCGTGCATTTCAAGTTTATAACAGTAATGTTGAATGAATGCAACTTTTCATCATGCATTGCTGTAACAAATAATGACAGCACAGCATGAACTATGACAGACTTGTGTTGTACAGTTAAAGGAAATAGTTCACTTTTAACATGGGGTTTTGAGCTGGAATAGCAGTTTCGTAGCTTGAGCTGAGACTAGCACAAATTAGGAGCTTTTACGGCTCAACGATCACCCTAGACGAAGATATTCCACTTCTCGTTCCGAAAAGAGTGCCTTGTAGAGGTATGCGTGCCTTACACAGGAATGCAGCCACGTCATCGTCAGCCAATCAGCGTGCTGCTTACAGCGAATGCAGTATGCGTAGGTTTGAGCTACGCAATATGATTGGTCAATGGGTAATAAGCTTCCGCGTCAAACATTATTTTACATAGAATATAGTTTGTCCTATGTTAAAATATAGAAAATAATTGTTTTTACAAAAAGGTTTTATTTTATTTCATGATTATTTTGAGCATAAAAAATCATAAATCAATAGCAATGTGAGATCCGCGCGCGTCACTCACCGAGCAAAGACTGGCCGCCAGCGGGCGGCGCCCCGCGACCTTTTGATCAAGTAGACGTTGCCCTGACGACACTCAACCACGATGTACGGACCGTCCCAGCGGGGCTGCAGCTTCCCCGGTCGACCCGGCTTTGGAGGACATCGCTGGAACACCAGGTCCCCTTTCTTGTACCGGGCGACGTGCGCATTCCGGCTACTGAGCTCCTGACGCCGCCGTTTCGTCCTCTCTTCCCGTTCCACTACAGTGGCGTGAGCTGCCTTCAGCTCCTTTGTCAGTCGTTCAACCCATGAGTTGGCGTCCGGCGGCCGTCCGGTCGGCTCCACCCTCTCAGCGAGGCGCGGTGTACGGGGCTCACGGCCAAACTGGAGATAGAAAGGCGAATGTCCGGTTGCCCTGTGCTCAGCTGTCATATACTGAAACCGAACCAGCGACAGGTGATCATCCCAGTCACCTACTTTTTCCTGGGCCATTCTTCGGAGCAGCGATCCCAGCGTTTGGTTACACCGCTCTACAGCACCATTGCTCTGTGGGTGAAACGCACTGATTCTCTTCCGGTCAATGCCGACCGCTCGTGCCAGTGTCAGAAAGTACTGGTTGTCGAATTCCAGACCACGATCAGTCAGCAGAGATTCAGGCAGCCCGTGTCTATAGAAAACATTCTCAACCAGCGCTTCAGCCACCGTTTTGGCGGATTTATCAGGAATCGCGACTAACTCAACCCCTTTAGTGAGCAGATCCAGTGCCACAAGAATAAACCGATTACCTCGGGCGGTGGGTGTGACGCCGATCGGTCCCATCAGGTCCAATGACACGTGCTGCCAGGCCTCGGTTGGCTGGGTTGTTGCCGACAGCGGAGCGCGGTACCTTCGGTGGGGGTCGTTGGCCTTAGCGCACGTAACGCAGCTGCGGCAGTAGTGCTTCACGTCTTCTTTCATCGTTAGCCAGCCGTAACCAGCCTGTCGTAGCAGCACCCCAGTCCTTTTCGCTCCGAAGTGTCCAGCATCATCATGCTTAAGACGAAGAGCCAGCGAAATGAACTTTTCAGGAACAATAAGCATTTCCTTCTGCTTCCTCGTAGCCACCAACAGGCCGCTTCCCGGTTCGATTTTCGGTTCCCAGCCCAATTTCCTCCACTTCACCATCTCTGGTCCATTGGTGCGCTTTAGCCTGATCTCACTGTACAGCTTCTTCAAACACAAGTCCTCTTGTTGAGCCGAGACCATGTCGACTTCGTTCACCATGCTCAGAGTTCGTGGTTCATGTTCTTGTGTGACACAGACACGTAATCTGGATATGGCATCAGCATGTGAGTTGCTTGCCCCTCTGCGATATTCCACGTCAAAATCGAACTCTTGAATTTCTTCAAGCCACCGAGCGTAGCGGCCTCGAGGATCTCTTGTGTTATGTAGCCACGTCAAGCTTCGATTGTCTGTAAACCATTTGAACTTTTTTTCCAAGGAGGTACGGTCGGAATTTCCGCAACGCAACCACGAAAGCAAAGGCCTCTTTATCACGAATGTGCCAGTTCTTCTCGTTGTCAGTAAACGCTTTCGATGCAAAGCAGACTGGTCTGTCCCTACCCAAATCGTCTCTCTGAGAAAGAACACATCCCAAGCCTGTATCCGAGGCGTCTGTACTGACCTCAAACTCCTTCTGCATGTTCGGGAACTGTAGAGTGGTGGTCTCGCTGAGGGCCCTCTTCAAGCCTTCAAATGCCGCTTCGCGCTCGGCATCCCATGTAAACTTCGCCTTTCCCGAAATCCTGTGCAGCGGCGCTGCTACCCGTTGAAGGTCAGGGACGAAGTCGTTATAGTAAGCACAGAGACCGAGGAATGAGCGCAACTCCTTCGTGGACGTAGGTCTGGGCCAGGATCTGATTACCGCCACCTTTTCCGGGTCCGGCTCCACTCCATCACCAACCAGATGCCCGAGGAAACGGAGCTTCTGCCGACAGGCAACCACTTTCTTACTTTTCACCGTCAACCCAGCCTGCTTCAGTCGTTCCAGCACCGCTTCCAACAGCGACAGGTGCTCCTGAAAAGATTTGCCACCGATAATGATATCGTCCAGATAGGCCGTCACTCCGTTACCCAACAGACCCCGCAGTGCATCAGCAATGAGCCTTGTGAAGCAGCTCGGCGCATTCTTCAATCCATATGGCATGACTAGAAATTCCCAGTGGTCTGTTTCCGTGCAGAATGCAGTCTTTTTACGATCTTCCGGTACGATGGGAACCTGCCAATACGCTGAATTCAGATCCAGAGTTGTGTACAATCTTGAACCGGCTAGGCTGTCCAAACATTCGCGTACTGTTGGGAGGTATGCCACTTCTGTTGCCGTTTTTGCATTGAGAGCGCGATAGTCGATGGCAAACCGATAATTGCCGTCACCCTTTTTTACCAGTAGCAGTGGAGCTGACCAAGGCGAGTTGGACTTCTGAATGACACCCTGCCGTTCCATTTTCCGTATCTGAATCGCAACTTCTTCACGCAAATGGTATGGAGTGCGCCGGGCTGGAACAGCGACAGGCGGACAGTCCCCTGTCACAATCCTGAATTCCCTGAGATGTGTCTTGCCCAGTTCGTCATCGTTATTTGCAAACGTGTCTCGATATCTGCTGAACAGCTTCTCAACACTTCTCTTCTCTTGTTCGTTTATCTCCGCGCTGCTAAGGTCAACTTGCGCTGGTCCGGGTCGACAGGCCCTCAGACTCTGCTCACCCTCGGTCACCTGGATAGCTGTGACTTCCCCCAGCGTCATGTTACCGTATAGGCGAACTGACTGATTACCACGGTTTGATACCAACAGAGGCATTCTGTTCATAGGACCGGACCGAACTACTGTGGGCGGTAGCGTTACTCCCAAACGCAGGCTGCTTGCAGCGTCTGGTTCAAAGACAACGTCCCGCTCATTCGCGCCGAAGTCCACGGCACTGACCTCCACCACCCGCTCAGAGTGCGGCTCCACACACACACACACACACACACACACGGAGTTTATTGACATAATACATGAGGTACATCGAGTATGTATCACGGAGAGTTGGCGCAAAAGCCATGGGCTCATCTCGAGGCGCCAAATCTCGACCTCTTCACTATCTCCAGTATCACTACCACTACCGCCGCCGCCGTGTCTAGGATTGCCCCGCGCAGCCAGCCGCCCCCACGCGTGCCCAGCGACGGGCGCGGGCCCACCCGGCTCAGCGAACAGAATAGGTAATTTAGTATCCACCGGTAAATCTACCTGACTCTTGCAAAAATTTTTGGAAGTGCCAAGCCACCAGCCGACCGCCCCCGCCACCGAGTCCGCGGCCGTGCAGGAGGACTTCAAGTTGGTATGATTTGGGTTTTTGTTTAAGGTCAAAGTTAAGGATGCGACGCAGGCTGTTGTAGAGTATGTCTCTTTGTTGGTCGTAGTTTGGACATGAAAATATAAAGTGTTTTACGTTTTCTTGGGAATTGCCACATGAACATTTAGGATTATCTGTCTTTTGTATTTTGTACTTATGTTCGTTTAGTATCGTCATATTAAGTCGTATTCTTGTATGCATTGTGTTAAGTGTCGTGGTGCCGTATGAGTAGTAAAGAGGAGGCTTGTTCATGCACATGAGCTCTTTGATCTCATTTCTGAAGTCTTTGTAGGGAAGATGCTTAATTGAGTTTGGTAGTTGATTCCATTGTTTTCCTGTGAGTGTTATAAATGTGCGTTG